GAGAGGACAGAGGAGAGGACAGAGGAGAGACAGAGGGAGGAGGAGCAGGAGAGGACAGAGGAGAGGACAGAGGAGAGGGCAGAGGAGAGGCAAGATGAGGACAGAGGAGGAGGGGAGAGGACAGGAGGAGAGGAGAGAGAGAGGAGAGGACAGAGGAGGAGGAGGAGAGGACAGAGGGAGGGAGAGAGACAGGAGAGGACAGAGAGGAGAGGAGGATGAGGAGGGACAGAGGAGAGGGAGGAGGACAGAGGACAGAGGAGAGGACAGAGGAGGGACAGAGGAAGAGGAGGACAGAGGAGAGGACAGAGGAGGAGGATGAGGAGGAGGAGGGAGGAAAGGGCAGAGGAGGACAGGACAGAGGACAGAGGAGGAAGAGGGGGAGCAGGGGAGGGCAGAGGAGGGCGAGGGAGGGGAGGGAGGAGGAGAGGGAAGAGGGAGGGAGGAGGAGGGGAGAGGAGAGGGAGGAGGAGGACAGAGGAGAGGACAGAGGAGAGGCAGAGGAGAGGACAGAGGGAGGGAGAGAGGAGACAGAGGAGAGGACAGGGAGGCAGGGAGGAGGAGAGGGGAGGACAGAGGGAGGACAGGAGAGGACAAGGAGGGAGGAGGAGAGAGGAGGGAGGGAGAGAGGGGAGAGGAAAGAGGAGAGGAGAGGAGAGAGGGAGGACAGAGGAGGACAGGAGGGAGGAGAGAGGGAGGAGAGGAGGAGGAGAGGGAGGAGGAGAGGAGGGGAGGAGAGAGGAAGAGGAGGGGACAGGAGGAGAGGAAGAGAGGACAGAGGACAGAGGAGAGGAGGGAGGAGAGAGGACAGGGGGGAGAGGACAGAGGAGAGGACAGAGGAGGAGGACAGAGGAGAGGGCAGAGGAGAAGATGGGAGAGGAGAGGAGACAAGAGGAGAGGAGAGAGAGGAGAGGAAAAAGAAGGGAGAGGAGAGGGAGAGGAAGGAGGAGGGAGGACAGAGGAGAGGGGAAAGGAGGAAAGGAGAGAGAGGAGGGGGAGGAAGGGAGAGGGAAGAGGTCGGGAGGAGAAGAGGAGAGGAGAGAGGAGAGGGGAAGGGAAGAGGGAGAGAGGGGGAGGAGAGGAGGGAGGGAAGAGGAGGAGGGGAAGGAGAGGAGAGGCAGAGGGAGAGGACAGAGGCGAGGGAGAGGGGAGGGGGACGGGATGGAGAGAGGAAGAAAAAGGATATGGGACAGGGATGGGGTCCCCAGTAGGATGTCCCCCAGAGGACAGGAGGACGGGGAGACACCAAGGACAGAGGAGAGGAGAGAGGACAGTAAGGGAGGACACCAAGGAGAGGAGATTCCAGAGATGGGAGGTCCCCACACCAGGATGAGGACAGATAGAGGGAGAGAGGGGAGGACAGAGGAAAGGAATGTAGAAGGAAGGATTCCAGGACAGGGGGGACAGAGATGGAGAGGAAGAGGCAGAGAAGGTAGGAGAGGAAGTAGGAGAGGAGAGAGGAGAGGAGAGGGGGGAGAGGAAGGTGACAGGATGTCCCCTAGATATTCACAGAGACGGGGAGGAGAGGAGGAGAGATGGGAGGGAGAGGACAGAGGCCTAATGGAGAGGAGAAGGAGGGTCTCTCGAGGAGGGGAGGAAGGATTCCAGAGGAGAGGAGGTCCCCAGACAGGAGATGGGAGTAGGAGGACACGCAGGAGTCGTCCCACATGAGGACCAATGAGAGGAGAGGAAAGGTTCCAGAGAGGGAGGGGCCCCACATGGGGTTGTTGATGGTCCTCCTAAGCCCTCAATTCCAGGTGAGGGCATCAGAGACCCTGGGTCACACCAAAGTGCCCCCAGGATGGGAGGACTAGACCAGGATCCTTATGACAGTGCTGAGGGGGGCGGGAAATATGAGACGTCATAGAGAATGCTCTATTCCAAGAGTGGAGCCAATGTCCCCTAATATTCCAGAGAACTGGGGGGGTCCCACACCAATGTCCCCTCAATATTCCCTGTTGGAGACGGGTCCCCACACACCAATGTCCCCAATATTCCAGAGACGGGGTCCCCACACAATGTCCCCAATATATCTCAGGACGGAGGGGTCCCACACCAATGTCCCCTAATATTCCAGAGACGGGGTCCCTACACACCAATGTCCCCCAATATTCCAGAGACGGGGGCCCCACACCAATGTCCCCCAATATTCCAGAGACGGGGCCCCACACCAATGTCCCCCAATATTCCAGAGACGGGGGTCCCACACCAATGTCCCCCAATATTCCAGGGACGGGGGTCCCCACACCAATGTCCCCCAATATTCCAGAGACGGGGGCCCCACACCAATGTCCCCTAATATTCCAGAGACCGGGGGCCCCACACCAATGTCCCCCAATATTCCAGAGACGGGGGCCCCACACCAATGTCCCCCAATATTCCAGAGACGGGGCCCCACACCAATGTCCCCCAATATTCCAGAGACGGGGCCCCACACCAATGTCCCCCCAATATTCCAGAGACGGGGCCCCACATCCAATGTCCCCCAATATTCCAGAGACGGGGTCCCCACCACCAACAGCTAATTGTCCCCCAATATTCCAGAGACGGGGGTCCCTACACCAATGTCCCCAATATTCCAGAGACGGGGTCCCCACACCAATGTCCCCCAATATTCCAGAGACGGGGTGGTCCCCCCACACCCAATGTCCCCCCAATATATTCCAGAGACGGGGGGCCCCACACCATGTCCCCCAATATTCCAGAGACGGGGTCCCATCCCCACACCAATGTCCCCAATATTACTCAGAGACGGGGTCCCCACACCAATGTCCCCCAATATTCCAGAGGGGTCCCCACTCATTACCAGAGGGTCCCCCTAATGTCACCAACTCGTCAGTAGACGGGGTCCCCCACACCAATGTCCCCCCTAATATTCCAGAGACGGGGGTCCCCACACCAATGATCCCTAATATTCCAGAGACGGGGTCCACCACACCAATGTCCCCCAATATTCCAGAGGGGATCCCCACACTCAATGTCCCCTAATATGGGGACCAGAGACGGGGCCCCACACCAATGTCCCCTAATCACTTCCAGAGATCCGGGGTCCCCACACCAATGATCCCCCAATATTCCAGAGATGGGGGCCCACACCAATGTCCCCCAATATTCCAGAGACGGGGGTCCCCCCCCATGACACCTAATGTCCCCGTCCAATAGTATTCCAGAGGGGGTCCCCCCACTACCCAATGTCCCCCAATATTCCAGAGTACGGATCCCCCACACCAATGTCCCCCTAATATTCCAGAGACGGGATCCCCACAACTTCAATGTCCCCCAATATTTCCAGAGACAGGGGATCCCCACACACACTCAGGATCCCCATCACTCCCTCCAGGGGATCCCCATCCCACCCGGGCCAGGGATGGGATCCCCACAGGTCAATGACTCCCCCGCTCTCAGAGACGGGGTCCCCACACCATGTCCCTCTCAGGGCTCTCCCCAGAGAGTTTCCACAATCAGGATCCCTCCATCTGCATATTCCTCTCAGGGGATCCCCACACCAAGTCCCCCTCCTAACCAGGGGACTCCCCATCAGGAAACTTGACATCAGGGATCCCCAGCTCACTCTACCTCTCAGGCGGCTTGCCTATGACATCGTATCTGTTGAAGATCCCATATGGTTCACTCCTAACTAGGAGGGGACGTCACGAGGGTCCCCACACTCAACTCTCCAGGGGATCCCGATCACTCTAGATACTTCTCAGGGGATCCCGATCACTCTACTCTCAGGGGATCCCCCATCACTCTACTCTCAGGGGATCCCCATCACTCTACTCTCAGGGGATCCCATCACTCTACTCTCAGGGATCCCCATCACTCTACTCTCAGGGGATCCCCATCACTCTCACTCTACTCTCAGGGGATCCCCATCACTCTACTCTCAGGGGATCCCCATCACTCTACTCTCAGGGGATCCCCATCACCTACTCTCAGGGGATCATCATCACTCTACTCTCAGGGGATCCCCATCACTCTACTCTCCGTCCTCTCATGGGACTCACCGATCACATAGGGATCCCCATCACTCTACTCTCAGGGGATCCCCATCACTCTACTCTCAGGGGATCCCCATCACTCTACACTCTCAGGGGATCCCCATCACTCTACTCTCAGGGGATCCCCATCACTCTACTCTCAGGGGATCCCCATCACTCTACTCTCAGGGGATCCCCATCACTCTACTCTCAGGGGATCCCCATCACTCTACTCTCAGGGGATCCCCATCACTCTACTCTCCAGGGGATCCCCATCACTCTACTCTCAGGGGATCTCCCATCCCCATCACTCTACTCTCAGGGGATCCCCATCACTCTACTCTCAGGGATCCCCATCACTCTACTCTCAGGGGATCCCCATCACTCTACTCTCAGGGGGATCCCCATCCCTCACTCTACTCTCAGGGATCCCCATCACTCTACTCCCAGGGGATCCCCATCACTCTACTCTCAGGGGATCCCCATCACTCTACTCTCAGGGGATCCCCATCACTCTACTCTCAGGGGATCCCCATCACTCTACTCTCAGGGGATCCCCATCACTCACTCATCACTCTCAGGGGATCCCCATCACTCTACTCTCAGGGGATCCCCATCACTCTACTCTCAGGGGATCCCCATCACTCTACTCTCAGGGGATCCCATCACTCTACTCTCAGGGGATCCCCATCACTCTACTCTCAGGGGATCCCCATCACTCTACTCTCAGGGGATCCCCATCACTCTACTCTCAGGGGATCCCCATCACTCTACTCTCAGGGGATCCCCATCACTCTACTCTCAGGGGATCCCCATCACTCTACTCTCAGGGGATCCCATCACTCTACTCTCAGGGGATCCCCATCACTCTACACTCAGGGGATCCCCATCACTCTACTCTCAGGGGATCCCCATCACTCAGGGGATCCCTCTCTACTCACTCGGGGATCCCCATCACTCTACTCTCAGGGGATCCCGATCACTCTACCCTCAGGGGATCCCCATCACTCTACTCTCAGGGGATCCCATCACTCTACTCTCAGGGGATCCCGATCACTCTCAGGGGATCTTCATCAGGGGATCCCCATCACTCTACTCTCAGGGGATTCCGATCACTCTACTCTCAGGGGATCCCGATCACTGTATTCTCAGGAGATCCCGAGGTGCACAATGGACTCTACCAAGCACAGATCATTAATTTCATACACTAGATTCCCCTACGTATTGTCCCCGCCTTCCATACCATGTGATTCAGGTGTTCCAATCCCCTCCATATCATGCGATTCAGGTGTTCCAATCCCCTTCCAATCAAGTGATTCAGGAGTTCCAATCCCCTCCAAATCATGTGATTCAGGTGTTCCAATCCCCTCCATATCATGTGATTCAGGTGTTCCAATCCCCTCCCAATCATGTGATTCTGGTGTTCCAATCCCCTTCCATATCATGTGATTCTGGTGTTCCAATCCCCCTCCATATCATGTGATTCAGGTGTTCCATATCATGTGATTCAGGTGTTCCAATCCCCTCCCAATCATGTGATTCAGGTGTTCCAATCCCTCCATATCATGTGATTCAGGTGTTCCAATCCCCTCCCAATCATGTGATTCTGGTGTTCCAATCCCTTCCATATCATGTGATTCTGGTGTTCCAATCCCCTCTATCTCATGTGTGTTCCAATCCTCTCCATATCATGTGATTAGGTGTTTCAATCCCCTCCCAATCATGTGATTCTGGTGTTCCAATCCCTTCCATATCATGTGATTCTGGTGTTCCAATCCCCTCTATCTCATGTGATTCAGGTGTTCCAATCCTCTCCATATCATGTGATTCAGGTGTTTCAATCCCCTCCCAATCATGTGATTCAGGCGTTCCAATCCCCTCCATATCATGTGATTCTGGTGTTCCAATCCCCTCCATATCATGTGATTCAGGTGTTCCAATCCCCTCCATATCATGTGATTCAGGTGTTCCAATTCCCCTCCAATCATGTGATTCAGGTGTTCCAATCCCCTCCATATCATGTGATTCAGGTGTTCCAATCCCCTCCATGGACACAGGGGTATACAATGAAGCCCCTAGGCATGCAGACGGCTTCTACAAACATTGGTGAAAGAATGGGTCGCTCTCAGGAGCTCAGTGACTCCAAGCGTGGTCCCGTGATAGGTGGCCACCTGGGCAATAAGTCCATCCGTGACATTTCCTAGCTGTGATGAAACGTCCCATTGTGATCACATTTTGCCCTTTCTGTTTCACTTTTATCCCCTTGTTAAGTGGTCTTCCCGTTCTCCTCTCGGTAAAGCTGTATACAGTCAGGTCCATAAATATTGGGACATGGACACAACTCTAACATTTTTGGCTCTATACACCACAATGGATTTGAAATGAAATGAACAAGATGTGCTTTACCTGCAGACTGTCAGCTTTAATTTGAGGGTATTTACATCCAAATCAGGTGAACGGTGTAGGAATAACAACAGTTTACATATGTGCCTCCCACTTGTTAAGGGACCAAAAGTAATGGGACAGAATAATAATCATAAATCAAACTTTCACTTTTTAATACTTGGTTACAAATCCTTTGCAGTCAATGACAGCCTGAAGTGTGGAACGCATAGACATCCCCAGACGCTGGGTGTCATCCCTGGTGATGCTCTGCCAGGCCTTTACTACAACTGTCTTCAGTTCCTGCTTGTTCTTGGGGCATTTTCCCTTCAGTTTTGTCTTCAGCAAGTGAAATGCTCCATCGGATTCAGGTCAGGTGATTGGCCATTGCAGAACATTCCACTTCTTTGGTGTCTTTTGCAGTCTGCTTTGGGTCATTGTCCATCTGCACTGTGAAGCGTCCAATGAGTTGTGAAGCATTTGGCTGAATATGAGCCGATAATATTCCCGAAACACTTCACAATTCATCCGGCTGCTTCTGTCAGCCGTCACATCATCAATAAATACAAGAGAAGCAGTTCCATTGGCAGCCATACATGCCCACGCCATGACACTACCACCACCATGATCACTGATGAGGTGGTATGCTGAGGACCATGAGCAGTTCCTTCTCCATACTCTTCTCTTCCCATCACTCTGGTACAAGTTGATGTCGGTCTCATCTCTCCATAGGATGTTGTTTCCAGAACTGTGAAGGCTTTTTTACATGTCGTTTGGCAAACTCTAATCTGGCCTTCCTGTGTTTGAGGCTCACCAATGGTTTCCATCTTGTGGTGAACCCTCTGTAGTCACTCTGGTGAAGTCTTCTCCTGATTGGTGACTTTGACACACATACACCTACCTCCTGGAGGGTGTTCTTGATCTGGCCAACTGTTGTGAAGGGTGTTTTCTTCACCAGGGAAAGAATTCTTCGCTCATCCACCACAGTTGTTTTCCGTGGTCTTCCGGGTCTTTTGGTGTTGCTGAGCTCACCGGGGCGTTCCTTCTTTTTAAGAATGTTCCAAACAGTTGTTTTGGCCACGCCCCATGTTTTTGCTATCTCTCTGATGGGTTTGTTTTGTTTTTTTCAGCCTAATGATGGCTTCACTGATAGTGACAGCTCTTTGGGTCTCATCTTGAGAGTTGACAGCAACAGATTCCAAATGCAAATAGCACACTTGAAATGAACTCTGGACCTTTTATCTGCTCATTGTAATTGGGATAATGAGGGAATAACACACACCTGGCCATGGAACAGCTGAGAAGCCAATTGTCCCATTACTTTTGGTCCCTTAACAAGTGGGAGGCACATATGAAAACTGTTGTCATTCCTACACCGTTCACCTGATTTGGATGTAAATACCCTCAAATTAAAGCTGACAGTCTGCAGTTACAGCACATCTTGTTCTTTTCATTTCAAATCCATTGTGGTGTATAGAGCCAAAAATGTTAGAGTTGTGTCCATGTCCCAATATTTATGGACCTGACTGTATGATTAGCGGCTGTTATGTAGACAGACATTCTCCTCTGTTTAGGGACATGTGACCTTGTAGCCTTTCCCTTCTATAGAGTTCATACTGTATTGTTGGTTGTGGGGTTTGTTGTGGGCGGGGAAAACCCGGTGCCAGGCGGTCTGGTGGGGGTGATGTATATACTGAGCTGTGTTCAATAAAGAGTCATTCACTCCCCCTACACGAAGTTCCGACTCGTGGTTTGGGATATCGGGGAAGAATTAGTTTTTTGAGCTCTAATAGCCGCCTTGGCAGAGCGCTGGAAGACTTGCAGGACAAGGAGATCATTGGCTGAGACGCATCACTCCACACGAGGAAGCCCAGGCAGAACGGTTCCACCACACTGGCTACTAAATATTCCACGCTCAACTGTTAGTGGGATTATAACAAAGTGGAAGCCACTGGGAACAACAGCCACTCAGCCACCAAGTGGTAGGCCACGTCACATGACAGGGCGGGGTCAGCGCATGCTGAAGCGCACAGTGCGCAGAAGTCACCAACTGTCTGCAGAGTCAATAGCTAAAGACCTCCAAACTTGGTGTGGCCTTCAGATGAGCCCAACAACAGTGCGTAGAGAGCTTCATGGAATGGGTTTCCATGGCCGAGCAGCTGCATCCAAGCCTTCCATCACCAAGTGCAATGCAAAGCGTTGGATGCCGTGGTGTAAAGCACGCCGCCACTGGACTCTAGAGCAGGGGAGACGTATTCTCTGGAGGGACCAATCACACTTCTCTGTCTGGCAATCCGATGGGCGTGTCTGGGTTTGGCGGTGGCCAGGAGAACGGTACTTGCCTGACTGCATTGTGCCAAGTGTAGAGTTTGGTGGAGGGGGGATTATGGTGTGGGGTTGTTGTTTTTCAGGGGTTGGGCTTGGCCCCCTAGTTCCAGTGAAGGGAACTCTTAAGGTGACATTCTGGACAATTTCATGCTTCCAACTTTTGTGGGAGGAGTTTGGGGATGGCCCCTTCCTGTTCCAACATGACTGCCCCCCAGTGCACAAAGCAAGGTCCATAAAGACATGGAGGAGCCCGTTTGGGGTGGAGGAACTTGACTGTCCTGCACAGAGTCCTGACCTCAACCCCATAGAACACCTTTGGGATGAATTAGAGCGGAGACTGCGAGCCAGGCCTCCTCCCCCGACATCAGTGCCCCTCCCCCGACATCAGTGCCCCCTCCCCCAACATCAGTGCCCCTCCCCCGACATCAGTGCCCCTCCCCCGACATCAGTGCCTGACCTGACAAATGTGCTTCTGGAAGAATGGGTCCAACCTTCCCATAGACACCCTCCTAAACCTTGTGGGGGCCTTCCCAGAGAGAGTTGGAGCTGTTATAGCTACAAAGGGCGGCGGGCCAACTCAATATTGAACCCTACGGGCTAAGACTGGGAGGGCCATTAAAGGTCGTGTGTGTGGAAAGGGCGGGGCCAACTCAATATTGAACCCTACGGACTAAGACTGGGGGGCCATTACAGGTCATGTGTGTGGAAAGGGCGGGGCCAACTCAATATTGAACCCTACGGGCTAAGACTGGGGGGCCAATGAAGGTCATGTGTGTGGAAAGGGCGGAGCCAACTCAATATTGAACCCTACGGACTAAGACTGGGGGCCATTACAGGTCATGTGTGTGGAAAGGCCGACGGCCCAATACTTGGGGCAATATAGTGTGTGGATTGATGACGTCCCACAGATCACCTGACACACTGTGTATGGGGGGGTTCTGTAGTACAGATCAGTAGATCACCTGACACACTGTGTAGGGGGGGTTCTGTAGTACAGATCAGTAGATCACCTGACACACTGTGTAGGGGGGTTCTGTAGTACAGATCAGTAGATCACCTGACACACTGTAGATCACCTGACACACTGTGTAGGGGGGTTCTGTAGTACAGATCAGTAGATCACCTGACACACTGTGTAGGGGGGTTCTGTAGTACAGATCAGTAGATCACCTGACACACTGTGTAGGGGGGGTTCTGTAGTACAGATCAGTAGATCACCTGACACACTGTGTAGGGGGGTTCTGTAGTACAGTATCAGTAGATCACCTGACACACTGTGTAGGGGGGTTCTGTAGTACAGATCAGTAGATCACCTGACACACTGTGTAGGGGGGTTCTGTAGTACAGATCAGTAGATCACCTGACACACTGTGTAGGGGGGTACAGATCAGTAGATCACCTGACACACTGTGTAGTACAGATCAGTAGATCACCTGACACACTGTGTAGGGGGGTTCTGTAGTACAGACAGTAGATCACCTGACACACTGTGTAGGGGGGTTCTGTAGTACAGATCAGTAGATCACCTGACACACTGTGTAGGGGGTTCTGTAGTAGATCAGTAGATCACCTGACACACTGTCAGTAGTACACCAGTAGATCACCTGACACACTGTGTAGGGGGGTTCTGTAGTAGTGACACACTGTGTATCTGTAGTACAGATCAGTAGATCACCTGACACACTGTGTAGGGGGGGTTCTGGGGCAGTAGATCTGTAGTGTGTAGGGGGGGGGTTCTGTAGTACAGAGCAGTAGATCACCTGACACACTGTGTAGGGGGGTTCTGTAGTACAGATCAGTAGATCACCTGACACACTGTGTAGGGGGGTTCTGTAGTACTGTAGATCACTGTGTAGGGGGGTTCTGTAGTACAGATCAGTAGATCACCTGACACACTGTGTATGGAGGGGGATGTCCTGTAGTACAGATCAGTAGATCACCTGACACACTGTGTAGGGGGGTTCTGTAGTACAGAGCAGTAGATCACCTGACACACTGTGTAGGGGGGTTCTGTAGTACAGATCAGTAGATCACCTGACACACTGTGTAGGGGGTTCTGTAGTACAGATCAGTAGATCAGATGACACACTGTGTAGGGGGGGTTCCTGTAGTACAGATCAGTAGATCACCTGACACACTGTGTAGGGGGGTTCTGTAGTACAGATCAGTAGATCACCTGACACACTGTGTAGGGGGGTTCTGTAGTACAGATCAGTAGATCACCTGACACACTGTGTAGGGGGGTTCTGTAGTACAGATCAGTAGATCACCTGACACACTGTGTAGGGGGGTTCTGTAGTACAGATCAGTAGATCACCAAACACACTGTGTAGG